ACAGTCACTAGAATTGTCACAAGAGACATGTAGTAGATCAGCGCATTGGCCAAAGTGCTTTAGTGAGAGTGTGTCTCCCTCCCTTAAATAGAAAGTTCCTCTTCCAACCGACCAAATGTTGTTCAAATCAAACCACCACCAGATCCAAGTAGAAACTTCATTATATTTAGCCTCCAACAATAGTCCCAAATATTTGATAAGCAAATTAACACTCTTACATCCAAGAATACTGTGCTAAACTGTTAGAATCTCGCCCCTTCAAAGTCTTATCAGCTCAGACTTGGCAAGATTAATGTTGAAACCCGATACTACTTGGAAATTTTTTTCCCTGAAATAACTGATATTTACTAGGAAGCTTGACAGAATGCATCTAACATTTAGCAAGGCTCTCTCACTTGGCTCACAAAAAAGCAATGTGTCATCCGCAAAAATAGATAAATAATCTTCTCCACACACTTCCATCACCGAACTTTAATTCCATAGACATTCTAAGTTCTAAGGGCTTTCAAAATTATTATGTTGAGACTCTTCATAACGATGATGAACAAAATGCGAACAAAAGGACTCCTTACCTAAGACCTCTAGTGGCCCTGAAGAATGATGATGGCCCCCCATTCACCATAACAGCAAAGGAGGTTGTAAAGATACAATGTCTGATCCACATTCACTATTTGGCCCCAAAACCCATCCTCATTAGAATGTAATCCATACATTCCCAATTCACATAGTTATAGACTTTTTTCATGTCAAAGTTTACAAACGAACCCCTCTAAATTCTTATGCTTTAGTTAATTCACAATCTCATTTGCAATTAAGGTTGCATCCAATATCTGCCTACCTCCCACATACGTATATTGACACTCTCCCACCATTTTCTTCGTCACCTTAACCATTGCTCTACTAAAACTTTAGCAATAAGTTTATACACACTTCCCACAAGACTATGGGCCTAAAATCCTAAATGCTCGTAACTCCCGCAATCTTTGGAATAAGAACTAGAAAAGTAGAATTTGAACCATTAACCAACTGTGCTCTTTCATGGAAAGATTAAGTTGTTCATAATATCATCCTTTATCACATGCCAAAACCTCTAAAGGTAACCCATATTAAATCTATCAGGCCTAAGAGTTTTATCCTTACTGCATATATCAAGCTTTTAAGAAGTTTTTCCTCAGGAAACTTCTGCTCAAAAGCTTCATGACTAATAGGAATAATTTTTTTATTTGAAGTAAAAAGTATGGTATAATTCATTAATTCACAAGCACCAAGAGGGTGCCTACCCATGTACAAAGTATTTACATGTCAACCTAAAATAATAGGAATAGTAGTGATTGTTACAAACTAAAATTTCCCTCCTTCAATTGTTTATTAAATTTTTCAATTTAGTTTTCTTTTTCATGTGAATTTTGTTTCTTCTGAATATTAATCCTGATTATTTTATTTATTTTTTTAATTTTCAGATATTAAAAGATTTATATAAGTTAATTACTATTATACTTTCATTTATTGGAAAAAAAAATATACATTTTTAATAAATGAACTAATAAAGGGAAATTTTGTCAAGATTACCTACAAGGGACACTAGTCGCTAGATTAAGTGAAAGTCATATTTTATGACCATCTATTTTAACCACTTGTTTTACTGTTATTAAAAGCCATGCTATTGTGTTTTTGAGGTCAGACTTCTACAGCATTTGGTAACTATTGTTGTAGAAACTGCTACCAATGTAAAATAGAAATGCTCTTCTGTTTGGTTAATCACAATATAAAATGAATTTGTTATTTTCGAATGTGTTTTATATCCATATGAATTTTTCTTATCGAGATATTTTTCATAAATGGATCTTGTTTGACAGAAATATTTGATTTTAATTCATTACTAATTTTTTTTTAATATATAACTATTCTATTTATTTATAATAAGTAATAAGCAACCAATGTAAATTACTACTAAACTTTTAGTTTAAGAAAAAAAGTTATCAAGTAAATAAATTTTTCAAGGGATAACTGCTCAAAAATTCATCAAGCACTATTCAGGTGTTATCTCATCAGCATCGCTAGTGTCAACTGTATCAAAAATCAAATTTTAACTATTGGTTTTAACCTAAACACTTCTATTTCAGGCATTCGCTAAGCTCCTGTTCTTTCAGGATAAAAGCAGAAGCTAAAAATTTTGGCCAAAAAGGCTCTTAATCTAACAAAATTCTGCCAAATCTATGAACTGGAAAAGAAAGAGTGTAAAGTACCTAACACTAGCAGTTCATTATATATCCCAGAAAGAACCATCTCCAATATTTTGAAATTGCCATTTCAAACTGTAAACTAAGCTTTTTTTTTAGATAAAACTGTAAACTAAGCTATGCTTATCAATCATGGTACGTACTGAAAGATACTTCTTATAAAGCTGGCACTCCCACTACAACATGCTACCTCCAATTTACCCTACCTCTTCCATGTTAACAACAGTCCAGTCACGTCCAAAGAACTATTTCTCAGATTGCTTTCCATAAGAGCAAGTTGCTTCTAATTCCAGAAGTTCCACTAACGAATTTTCTCCAAGAATAATATGTGCCGAACCTTCATTTATTTCAACGTGCTACCAGCCATAGCAAACACATAAAGATCCAGTTATAGTGAAATCACTATATAGGAACTGGCAGTAGAAGGGTCTCATTACGTACTAAAAACCTAAATTGGAACTGTGGTTTGCCTTATCAACCGCCAACAACACCACATCTATAGCAAACAAAAAGCATCAAGATAGTAAATAATTAAAAAAACAAGTAAAACATAAGAACCTGAGAGTCACAGATGGATCATCGCTAATTATCCAGTGGATAATTTTCTCAACAAAAAATAAATACTATTTTGAATTAATTGAAGCATCGACAATCATATTTGTAAGCCACATTTTTAGAATCCAGTAGGCAAAAGATCGGCATCATCCTAAGAGTAATATCTCTCAATTCCACAATAATTTCTCACCAAGAAAAAGTCATCCTTCACTCCTCACATTTTTACGCAGCTTAATAAACCTTATACTGAAACAAGCGATTAACCAAAAACTCCCAAAACCCTAACAAAGGCAATTTATACAGAAAGGACATACCGAAAGCAATTTGAAACTAAGAAGCAAAACCTGTAGGAGACGACCAGGCGGCGTGGATGACGCAGCGTTCCTGGACGTTGGAGCAGAATCCAACAGTGACCTTGTTGAGATCTCCGCGCAGAACAGAACTGCTCCAGACAGAGGCCCCATCGCAGACAGTAACCTGTCCCGCCAAGATCACGTTAGGCGCCACGTAGGCGTCAACGGCGACCTTCGGAGCCCATTGACCAAGCGGTATCATCTGCCTCTGGCCCCTGTAATCCCATTTCACCCGATCAGCGGACGGCGTTATAGTCTTCGTAGCCTCAGTTGCAAAAGCGCGGCGAATGAGGTCAGCAGCCGCCCGAGCCCCGAAGGCAGTCCTGGACATGCGAGATATGGCGGTGGCCATTGTATTGTCTGGTGAGGAAAGGGAGAAAAACTACCGTTGTGACGACGAGAGAGAAATGGAAGCTGGGAGGTTGCGTCAGCTGAAAATGGAAGCGGAACGGGAGAGCGCGAGAGGTTAAGTAGAATAATGGGCCGGCCCAATCTAACCGGGCCTCGTAAGGGGTTAAGCTAAGCTCATTTTACAACAGGCCCATTAAAAACTAATGTTAGATTGTGACTAATATGAATTGGAGTAATTAATTAAGAAAATTTTTTACAAATATTCCATAATTTAAACATACTTAGATAAAATATTATGGAGTAATGACCGACTAATAATATATAATGTTGAATTTTTGCAAGATTAGTGATGTTTAAATTTATAATCTTTTAAACAGAGAACAAAAATCTTGAGATAAACTTTAAAAATTTGTGGTTTTTCAGGAGATAAGAAGATACCAGGCAGAGATGGGCTTTTATGTTAGTGTTTATCAACATGGCAGGATTTTTGGATTCCATTCTTGGCATCCTTAGCAGTACCTCCGTTTATGCCAAGTCCTAAAATTATTTATGTTAAATTAAGATATCTACGCGTATAATTGAAATACAATAATCTCTGACAGTAAAAATAAAATAAAAGAATAACTTCAAGTTCGTTTAATAAATTTAATAATAAAGTTTGTCCGAGTTAAGATTTAATCAAATTTAAAATAAATTTTTATTAAATTCAAATACAGATTATTTAAGAGTATATTTGATCGATCATCATTTTGTATATTTGAATATTATGTATATAATATATGAGTGAATATTTGAGATTTATTGGAGAATATTTGGACTACCAAGTGGCTACATCTTTTCTTCGCTACAGACATAGACTAGAAAGTTACTCACAACTTATCTTTGTGGTAGCCTTTTTCTATTTTTAAAAAAAAAAACGACCAATTTATTTTGACCCATTTTTGTACTATGTATAAATGACCAAACAAGAACATGAAGCAAACATTATATACATATATCTACGTACGTATGCATGTATGTATGCATGTATGTGCACAGGCATGAAAATACTAAAATCTCTCTTGGGTACGAAACATATAGATATATACATATATGTTTTGAGGAAGATATATATGACCCAACAAGAACATGAAAACATATAGCAAACATTATATACATACATATACTTATGTATGTATGTATGTATGTATGTATGTACACAGGCATGAAAAATAATAAAATCTTTTTTGGGTATGAAACATATAGATAGATATACATACATTGTAAATTTGTAGAAAAATAAATTGGAGAACATGTAGAAAGAAATAAGATATGTATATATATATATGCAAACATATATTGGGAGTGGAAGGCAGATGGATACCTCTTTATTAAAGTGCAAGGTCGTTTATTCTTTCAAAATATCTAATGTATACAGTTACTCAAGATATTAATTTTCTTCTCTGAACTACACCTATATATACACCTCAACTCCATATTTCCCTCTACACAAATACACCGAAAAAATAACAACCATCATCAGTTAATGGACTACTTCAAGCATAACCGTCGGATGAGAAGCAAGCTTGTGATGTCCTCGTATCAGACGGCTCAGCCGTCGTGGTCAACGGTGCAGTACTACGATAACAGTCAAGTAGTAAGGCATGGAGATTCTCGCCGTCAATTAAACGACGCCGTGGAGGAGGACAACATTGACGCCATGGCGGAAAGTTACATCACTTGCGTTAAAGAACGTTTCAGGCTTCAACTGCTCACTGCCGATGTTTGATGAGTAGTTATTCCGATTCTATAGTTTATCATTCTGTAAATTGATTTCTGTTTTCGTTTATGTTGAGTGTGTTTAAGATCACTACTTATATGATGTAGATATAAATATATATTATGTCTGCAATATATATATATATATATACCCCACTAGAGTTTTATATTCACCCAAGTAGGAAAGTTATGGAGACTTATGAATTACATACATTCTATAGATATCTTCTTCATTTCATAGGGCCATAATATGGAAGTGATGTTATTTTTAAAGTTTTAATATCAAAATTCAGAAGCTAAAGAGTATTATTATTCAATAAATAGTTAATTGAACGGCATAAAATTTTAAAACTTAATACTACAAAAACCTTGGACAAGAGAGCGCTCCAAAAGTCTTGAATCCGGTCGAGCTAAAGATGTTCATGTATTGACATAAGATTATTTTTTTGGTCAAAAGATAAAAAAAAAATACTTTAATACTTTTAATAAATTAGATACAAACGTTATCACAGTGATCCATATAAAAAAATATAGATAATATCATCTAAAATTTCCACTATTTCGTGCATCTTTTTAAAAATTGTTGGCGTATGAAGTCAAATGATCAGGGCACATGTTACTTTTCATGTATGTGAAAGATATAAAATTTTCAATTTGATGACAAGAAATCTCTGTTTTATAACTTAGTACATAGTTGTATAAAATTTTCAATTTGATGACAAGAAATCTCTGTTTTATAACTTAGTACATAGTTGTACAAGTGTGATTCTCATTTTACCGAAAAATCTTGTAAAAAAAAAAGAGAGTCAATCTCGAAAGCAAATTTCCCAATAACGTCTTCCTAAAATATTTAAAGGACCTTAAGAACCTATCTACCTTAGTTACTATTGGGATAAAACAATTTTAACTATAAATAGTGTGATTAATTACTTTTGTCTCTATGTCTATTACCATCAAAACATTAATTAAAACGTAAAGGTCTAGGGTTTTCATTATTTGGTGCATCCTTTAGAAAATTGTGAGGGTATAAAAGAAAAAGATCAGTGCACATGTTACTTTTCATACGTATGTGAAAGATATGAACTTCTGAAATTTGTGACATGAGATCTATGATTACAACTTAGTACATGGTTGTACGGATGTGATTCTTTTTTTGTCGAAGAATCTTATAGATAAAAAAGAGTCAGTCTCAAAAGCAAATTTTCCAATACAGTCTCAAAAGTAAATTTTCCAATAACATCTTTCTAAAATATTTCAAGAATCTTAAAAACCTAACTATCTCAGTTATTGTTGGGATAAAACAATTTTAAATACAAATAGTGTGGTATTAGAATAAAGTTAAGGTTTACATTCCTTACATAGTAAATTAGAATGCTCAATAGAACTATTATAATGTCTTTTCTACAACAATTCATAACAAGAAATTAGTAAATAATTAAAAATAAGTAAATAAATATCCTAAGGATTAATCTCCACTAGTACTTGATGGGGTCTGGGAGCTAAACTACTCATAACTCTCTTAATGATCAGGATCCGAATCTCACTATTCTTGATCTCAAATGGTTAATAGAAGAATGAGCTACACTAGCTCAGTAAGAATATCACATTAATCACTGATACGAAAATCGAATGTTGGTAAAAATAATAAAATAGTACATTAAGCTCGTACTTTAAGTAAATTCGTTTAACATTAAAACGTTTATTCCATACTTACTGTTACGAGTTTATCAAAATCAACCTAATAAGGCAATTACTCATATAACATAATGACCTTGTATACAAGTAAACGAGATCAACAATTCTCTTTTCTACCTGTTTACTGGAACCACTGGGGGTCCATAGGGATATTCCATTACCCGTGAACCCACTATCTAGATTTGTCAATTGATCCGACCGTCTCCATATCCTGTCCAGTAATGAGTGCTAAAAATATTATCGTCTCGATATCCCATCTAGTATGAGTG